TCCCAGGGGAACTCACCTCCAGAAGGGACTCAGTCACCTGCCTGTCACCTACCCCAAACTTGAGAAGCACTGTGGTGAGGGGCCAGAACCACCACTGACTTGCCCTTTACTCTGTTTTTTCTTTTTTTTTTTTAAACATTATTTTGATTTTTAAAGTTGTGGCAAAATACATACAAAACTTGTGCTGGGCCTGGTGGCATATACCTGTGATCTCAATAGGTCAGGAGGCTGAGGCAGAAAGGTCACAAATTTGACCCCAGCTTGGGCAATTTAGCAACTTACCAAGACCTTGTCTCAAAAAGAAAAACAAAGCTAGGGATGTAGCTCTGTGTGGAGGCTCTGACTTAATCCCCATCCCCAGTACCATTAAAAAAAAAAAAAAAAAAAAGATAAAAGTCTGCCAGACCTTTCACCCCAATGCAACAGGGAGGCCTCCCTGCAGATTCAGCATACTGGCTGGAAAGGTCATTTTTTTCTCCTACATAAAGACTTTTTTAATTCGTATTGAAGTTACTAAAGCACAGCATCCTGTGATTCCTTCCACTTGGAGATAGTTGAAATTCAAAACATCTGACCCAGTAACAGTTCACTCAGGATTTATGGTAAAGTCACAGTTGAGTGCCAGCATTTTTGGGTGAAGGGCAAATGTTGCAGGCACTGCCAGACTCCCAAAAGAGAGATTGGGACCAGTGCCCTTCGAGCCCCACTCACCAAGTCAGGGGAGTGATCAGAACAAAGGAGGACGAGGCAGGAAGGGCCATGCAGCTGCTTCCTTGCCTCAGGACTGAGCCTTCGCCACAGGAAGCCACATGGTAGAAGTCAGGTGGCCTGGACTCTTCCACCTGTGTGGGGAGCCTCCTGTTCATCCCTCACACTCCATCTGTTCTGCCAGCCGTGTCCCAAGAGTCTGAGGGCCGGTGGGGGGGGTGGCGGTGGTGACCAGGCCTTGCTGCCGGCCGGCCCCATGTGGGGTGCCACATACAGTAGGGTACAGCTGGCACCACGGGCCCTGCACAGAAGCACGGGCCCTGCACGGGCAGCATAGCAGCTGCCCCCCATCACTGTGTCGGGCACAGTGCCTGGTGTGCCTTGGTGGAGGGATGAATGTCCCCCCAGCCTCCAAATCACAGGCTCAGCAAGACAGGAGCCCGTGGAGTCTGCTTGAGTGGCACTGCGGAGTAGATGAGCATTTGTCCCCGGCCATTGTCACCTGGCCCTAACTCTGAATGAGCCATTTTCTCTGTGAGCTCAGTTGTGCGCTGTAAAGGAAGTTGGTCTGGGTGGTTTCTAAGGCACTGCTTAAGCCATGGGAGGCTCTCGAGTCCCCGGGACTGGCAGGCATAACTCGGTTTAGGTGTAGGACTAGAGGTCAGGAGGGTGGCGATGCGTCACTCATAATAAATGGACAGAGTCAGAAAACATGTCCTTGAACCAGGAAGAACCGCTGAGAGGCAGCCTACTGGGGGCATCATGCCGTGTGTACCCTTTTTCTTTTTCTTTTTGGATTTTTGAAACACAGTCCTACTGTGTATTTCAGGCTATCCTTGAACTCACTGTGTGACCCAGACTGGCCTCAAACTTGCATCGATCCACTTGTCCAGCCTGGTGAGTGCTGGGATTACAGGCAGGCGCCACCATACGCGAAGCCTGCTTTTGCATCTGTTATTATTGTTTTGAGTACTTTTTCCAGGGCCAGCCACTGGCTTCAAAATGAAGAGGTTTGCCAGCCCCTAACTGAGACATCTCATAGAACTTACTTGTGGGGTAGCATGTCCCCCGTGCTGCATTCCAAGAGGCTAAGGGACCACATCTTGAGGGTTTGGTGGAGAATTCCTGTGCATTACTTGGGAGATGGACGTGGCGCCCACAGGGCTGACGGGCATGAGCATTTTGCCACTCCTGAAGTGCATGCTGGGAACTCAGCCTTTGTCACCTTCCCTTTACCGTATGCGTTGTCACAACCCCTGGCTAGATGAGGCGCTTCGTGCTAGAAAGAGCTGAGTGTGTGACAGGAATTTTCAGGTGTCAGTTAGCAGGAAGCTTATGAGACTACGTAGGCCACACTCCTCTCTTGGCAGTGGGGGCCTGGGGATGTGTGAATATTGAGTGGGGGGATCGCTTTCCCCAAACCATGTCACTAAGGGCTCGCTCACCATTTTTTTTCTTGTATGATGTCTTTGTTTCTTTTCTCTCATTGCTGAGACAAAATATCCGACACCTAAAATTAAGGAAGGAAAGGCTTATTTAGCCACAATTTGTGGAGGTTTCAGTCCATACTTGGCTGGCTCCAAGGCAGAGAGCAACCATTCATGGCTGTAGAAAAACAAGAGCGAAAGGGAGGAGTGGCAGGGGGAAGAGCAAGCCTCTTTCCCTCCCTTACGTTGTATGCAAACTGTCCACCCCAGGGCGGGTGTAGCACTCACACCCATAATTCCAGCACTGGACCATGAATCAATCATAAATCTAGACGCCTGCCCCATGGCTGCATGACGCTTTGAGTAGACATTCAGACACAAACCATAACATAGGAACACTGGGGTTTTGACAGTTTGTAGTACAAAGCATAGAACTCTCAAAGTTGGCAGAGCATGTTACCTGGAAGGTAGCATCTCACCAAATAATAAATGATATCATTCCCTTGAACCAACTTCTCTTTGAGCCACTTCTGGTATGACTCCCCCATAAGCTTCAAATTAAGATGATTTTCATAAACAGTCTGGTTTTTCTTAAGTCAACTTGGTTTGGTTTGGTTTGGTTTGGTTTGGTTTGGTTTGGGGTTTTTTGGTCTTTTTGAGACAGGGTCTCACTGTGCAATTCAGGCTGGTCTCGAACTTATAACAATCCTCCTGCCTCAGCCTCCCAAGTGCTGGGATTACAGGCATGCACCACCATGCCTGGCTTGTTTTGCTTTGTTTTTGAGGCAGGGTATCACTATGTATAGTTCAAAATGGCCTGGAACTCACTTGGCTCCTCCTGTCTCGGCTTTCTTAGTGCTAGGATTATAGTTGTGCACTACTCTGCCCAGTTTAAGTCAGCTGTAAGTAACAGTGTTTTCAAGAGAAAACGTCCCTATTGTGGAAATTTTCCACTATCTTTTTAAATATATTTTTATTAGTGCCTATTTTATAAAGTACTGGGTTTCTTTTTGCTACATTTTTTTAAATTTTTTTAGCCGGGTGTGGTCAGGATACTGGGACTGGGTGAAATGGAATCTGAGTATTGCTTTGGTTTGTATGTCCTTAATGGCTACATGAAAAATAGAATTTACTTATAAACTTACTGGCCATTCATATTATTTTGAGAAGGGTGTGTTCAAATCATTTGCCCATTTATTGTTTGGCTAGGGTATGTGTGTTTGTGTGTGTTGTGTTATGAGTTCTTTATATATTCCATTAATCTTGTGTAGGAAGAGGAGCCGGCAAAGATTTCCTCCCACTGTAGGCTGTCTCTTCACTGTTTTTTTTTTTTTTTTGGGTTTTCCTCCGGTACCGGGAACTGAACTCACGACCTTGCGCTTGCCAGGCAGGCGCTTTTGCCGCTGAGCTAAATCCCCAGCCCCTCTCTTCACTGTTTGGACTGTTTCCCTTGCTATGTAGAAGCTTTTTAATTAGATGTGGTCCCTTTTGTTGGTTCCTGCTTTTGTGTCTGTGCTATTGGAATTCTTTTTGGTAAGTCTTTGCTGGTATCTGTGGCTTCGGGTATTTCCTGAGTTTCCTTTTAGCAGCCTCAAAGTTTCAAGGCTTATAGTGTACCTATATCTTTGATTCATTCTGAATTGATTTTTATGCAAGGAAGGTGAGAAAGATTTTAGTTTAAATCTTCTACATATAGATACCCAGTTTTCCCTGGTTTTTGTTTTGTTTTGGTTTGGTTTTTTGTCTTTTTTTGAGACTATCTCGCTATGCAGTTCAGGCTGGCCTTGAGCTCACTTTGTAGCCCAGGCTGGTCTCGAACTCAAAGATCCTCATGGGTCAGCTTCTCAAGTGCTGAGATTACATGCTATTGGGATTTTGATGCAGATTGCGTTGATTCTGTAACTGTTGGTGATAATGGCCACTTTAACAACCTTAATTCTAGCCGAGTGTGGTGGCGCACTCCTGTAATCCCAGCACTTGGGAGGCAGAGGCAGGAGGATTGTTGCGAGTTCGAGGTCAGCCTGGGTGGCTACAAAGTGAGCTCAAGACCAGCCTGAACTGCATAGTGAGACCCTGTCTCAAAAAGACCAAAAAAAAAAAAAAAACCTTAATTCTGCCACTGCATGAACATGGGAGATCTTTGCATCTTCTGGTATCTTTTTCAATTTCTGTAAATTTCATGGCAGCAGTCTTCAACTCCTTGGCTAGGTTGATTCTAGATATTCTTTAAACCATTGTGAATGCCACTGTACGCCTGATTTTTTCTGTCACCTGCTTGTGTCGCACAGCCTGAACTTCCCCGAGGACCATGCGCACACCTGTACTCAGGGTGCCTCTCTGCTTCCTGTCCCAGGCAGGAATCCAGTTGTGCATTGCATTTGTCATTTTGAACCTAAGCATTGCATACGGGAAAGGAACACAGCAAGATCTGTAATGGAATTCCTGTCATACTGAGGCATCCTCCCCTTCCTGGGGAACAGCTCCACCCCTACCACCCAGGGGTCACCTAGGCTCTGGGACAGCTCAGGGCTGTGCAGGGCCAAGGGACACGTTCACCTCTGGGAGGCTACCAGCCTTCTCTGCTCGGCCCGGGAGCTGCTGGGCCCCAAGTGTGCAGGAGGGGATCTTAAGCTTTACAGACCCTGCCCAGCCAGACTGCTCAGAACCTGCCATCGTGTGCCCTCTGCCTGCCATGCAGCCGGCCAGGGGACCGGCTTTGGTCCACCTGGTGACTGTGCCACACAGACCCCGCCCAGCCTGTCTGGCGACTCTTGCAGATACTGCAGCTGCACAGGGATGCGCGGGGAGAGGGCAGGAGTGGTGTTCCGCCTGCGAAGTGATCACCCCGTTCTTTTTTCACTCTAGGAAGATGACGAGAAACTGATTGAGGAGATCCAGAAGGAGGCGGAGGAGGAGCAGAAGAGGAAGAGCGGAGGCAAGTGCTGTCCCAGCCACACCCCGCAGCCCGCAGGCTGGAGCAGAGGAGCTGAGCGCCACTGTCCCTCAGGGTGTCGCCACTCAGACCAGGGAGGCCCCGAGGGCCAGGGATGGGCGCAGCTGGGCACCACCACGTGGTGGTATGGGAATTGTGAGGATGGGTTTGAGCTCAGGAAGCAAGTGGAAGCCAAACCCATGAGAGGTGGTGATGCAGCCGGCCCTTTTCCAAGGTGCAAAAGGACGAGGTGGAGGCTCTGAGAGTGGCCCCACGAGACTGTGGCTGAGACTCACATGGCTGTCACCATACGTACTCCATAGATGGGCCACCCTCCGGGCCGTCGTGGCGCATGACACTCCATGCTTTGCTGCCGCTGCTTTTTTTTAAGACAAGGTTTCACTGACGTTCAGGCTGACCCCGAACTCACGTTGTAGGCCAGGCTGGCGGCAAACTCACGGGACCCTCCTGTCTCAGCCACAGGCGTGTGTGCCACCACGCCCAGCTGTCATTCTCCCTGCCTCATTAACAACCAGCCCTCATTCTTCTTGACACATTAACTGTACCCAGCCCTTGGTGGCCTCCCCAGTCTGAGTGGTGACGCCCTGAGGGACAGCGGCCCCACCCCAGCCCCAGCCTTCCTCCTTCAAGTGACAGTTGGGTGGGGTGTTTCTCTGGACACATTAATGTGGCACCCATCCTGGGCCCTGAGGGTCGGAGGCTGAGCCCGCCAGCAGCTGTGGGCCTGCTTCCCGCCCCTCACCCCCGTGCCCAACTAAATCATGCCCTTCTTTCAGAGAACACCTTCAAGCGCATCGGCCCCCCGCTGGAGAAGGCCCCTGAGAAGGTGCAGAGGACGGAAGGTCTGCCTCGGCCCGTCCCGCAGAACCTGCCCCCGCCACAGCTGCCTCCCTACGCCTTCGTGCACCCACCCTTCCCGCTGCCGCCCGTGCGGCCGGTGTTCAACAACTTCGCGCTCAACATGGGCCCTGTGCCCGCGCCCTACGTGCCCCCGCTGCCCAACATGCGCATCAACTACGACTTCGGGGCCGTTCACGTGCCGCTGGAGCACAACCTGCCCATGCACTTCGGCCCGCAGCCGCGGCACCGCTTCTGAGGGCCGAGGGCCCCGCCTGGGCCAGCTCCGCCCTGACCTTGGCAGGGGGGTGGCAGCTTAGGGGAGCGGGTGGAGACGCATTCCTTCCCCCCAGGCCCAGAAGGGACTGCTCCTCCCAGGCCCTTGCCTTTAAGGGGCCGGTCTTAGCGAAATCCCCTTCCCTAGTTCTGCCACCTTGGCAGCCAGCGTGCTGGCCCTGTGTCTGCTGTGTGTCCAGCCCCTACAGACAGGCAGAGGCTATCGTTTGGCCCGTCCCCTCTGGACGGCAGAGCCCCAGGCCTGTCCACAGCACAGCCGGGTCCCTAGTAGAGACAGCGCAGCAAGTAGAGTCTGAAGTGAGCTGGGAGCGCTGAGCAGCGCCCGGACCCGTGAGCGCAGCCCCACTGTTTCTCACACTCACCCTCTCCCGGGGCTGGGCCTGGGGCACACAGCAGCTGTGAGTGTCTCCCCTGAGGCCCAGGGTCAGCATCTAGGGCTTCCTCACCTCGCAGGCCGCTGGGGCCTTTTGGGATGCGCAGGGTGGGGCTGGAGTCTTTGGCCCTCTGAAGCCCAGAGCTCACTGCCAGCTTGGTGCCCATTCAGGTCAGACAGCGCAAAGAACCATCCTGTTGTTCAGGTTTTACTGTATGGGTTTTTGGGGGTTTTTTTGAGATGGTGTCACACTATGTAGCAGGCTGGCCTTAATTATGCAGCCCAGGCTGGCCTCAAACTCGTAGCGCTTCTCCTGCCTCAGCCTCCTGAGTGCTGGTATCACAGGCGTGTGCTACCACGCCTGGTTCATTGTATTGTTGATCTGAAGTATTTCCTCCCGTTCACACACTTTGAGCTTTAGCATATGAGGGCTTCTTCCCTCATCTCTGGAAAGTCATGCTGAAGGCAGCACCCCACACCAGGCAGCAGCTGAGAGCTGGACGACCCAGACACAGACCAAATGAAAGATCCACTCTCAGCAGCTGCCACAGGGGCCTCCCTCACAGCCCAGGTACTAGGGTTCCTCCGCGTGTTGGGTGCCTGTTCCCGCCTTGTCTCCTGTGTGCTCCCCCATAGTCAGCAGTGGAGACAGGGGAGGTCCTAGCACAGGGCAAGCACAGCTGTACCTCCCGAGGTCAGGGGAATCCGCGGAGGGCCCTGCTGTCCAGCCTGGTCCTCGTCCCCGGGAGGCCTCGCTCCAGCTGCGCACCTGGCACTTTCTTATCCCACGTTCAGCACCCTAGTCCTTGTCTTGTGGCCATGCTCTTCCGGGAGATGCCCGGGGGAGGAGGCACCTACACCTGCTTCTCGGGTGTCTGTCAGGCTGTAGGAAAAAGACCCCATACACATTCTTCCTGCCGTGGCTCAGGGTGAAGGCTTTGAGGCAGGTGGGCGCCCTCCCCGGGGCTGCGCTCAAGGCCAGAATGACAGTGCCTTGGAAAGGTGGGCTGCACCCCGAGTGACAGGGCCCTCCCAGAACCTTCAATGCAAACCACGTTCTCCGCTTTTCCCCTGGACGTAGAGAGGGCAGTCAGTAGTCAGCCCCACAGACCCCAAGCGCTGACCTCCAGGGCCTCAAGCCACCCTGCTGGGCTGGGGCCTGGTTCCAGCTCTGCCCTGCCCCTCCCACAGCCCCATTCAGGGCTGAGGCAGGACCCTGGGGGTGGGAGTGACAGTCATGTTCCTTCTGGCTGAGGCTAAACCCACAGAGATGTCCCAGATGCCTTCAGCTCAGAGTTAAAGGACCACTCCACGCGCCTCCCGCCCCCAGAGCAGGAGCCGCCATCCCTCCAGGTACTTTAGTGTCCCGGGCCAGGCTGGGGAGGTGCCTGCACTGGAGCCAAGGGTCCGGCCCCATGGGGACAACCAGGAGCGCCCAGCACAGCTGGCACCTTAACCTCTGGTCTGAGGCCAGAGACTGCCCAGCCACTGTCCCAATTTATTTGCCTTAAAACTGGAGAGAAATAAGTATTTGCACTTAGCAAAAGATTCAGATCTGAAGTAAAGTATGTGCATGATCTGTCACTTTGTATAAAAATAGCAAAAAAAAAAAAGTAGTTTATTAAATGTTTTTCCTTCTGGTAGTAAAAATAAAGTAACTCTGTTTAAACTACTGTGTGTAAAAAGCCTGTATCATATGTAACTTGGACTTTTGTAAATAAATATTTGTGCATTCTGCTCCCTCTGGATTCCTTTCTCCACACGCAGGTCCCCAGGAGTAGCGGGGTCCCCGAGAGGGAGAGCAGGGACCCGCCAGTGAGGGCAGCGAGGAGCAAGCCTCCTTCCTCTCCTGCCAGGAGATCCAGGCATCCGAGGCGCCCTGCTCGAGCAGCTCCAGGGCCAAATGGGGCACAAAAGGGTTCTTCTTTCATTTTTGGCACAAAACGCCCACCCCTCCCTGGCAGCGCAGCTTCTTCCCGAGCCCCCGGGGGCCACCTGCCCTGCCAGCACCTCGGGCCACAGCCCAGCCCAGCAGGCCTCCGTAAGACAGGGTGCTCTGCACCTGCTACCTTTTACTGAGCACTTTCTGGGCGGTTTTTTTTTTTTTTGAACTTCAACTTTTGAGTTTCAAACAGCTGTCCGCCTTGTGAGTGCTGGGACTACCCGTGTGCAGCACCATGGATGCCCCGGTGTTTGGCGCATCTGAGAGAAAGTATGCAGAAGGGAGTTTCAAGACTGTTGCCCACATCCCCAGCTTCTAAGTAGATCAGGCTGCACGCTCTTTGTTGGTTTTTTGAAACAGCTCAGGCTGCCCTTGAATTCACTATGTGGCCCAGGCTGACAAACCCACAGCAATCCTCCTGCCTCAGCCTCCCAAGTGCTAGGATCAAGGCCCGTACCCTCCCCGCCACCGCCCCGCTTGCTCTTGCCGCTGTCCTAGCCGTGCTGTGGACCCTCAGCTCCATGGGCTGCACCTCCCTGTGCGTCCACCCTGCTGCCTGGATGCCACGCTCCCTCCTGAGTGCTCCCCGTGTGGCCTTGTCCAGACTGTGCCTCTCCCTGGGGGGGCCCTTGGTGCCCCTCACATGACTGGTGGTGCTGGGATGTCCCAGATGATGTGTCCCCAGAGGTGAGGCTAGGGCCAGCGCGTGCTGTGTGCCCGGTGCTGGTGGCCCCGCCTGCCAGTCCATCTCAGGTGGGAGCCGGGCGCCTGCAGCGGCCGTGGCGCTCCACAGTCTCCGTCTCCTGAGCCTGCTGCGCCCACCTCCTCCAGACGGCACTGTGTCGGCTTTGCTCCCATGTCTGCTCTGGAAGCAGCGTCTTTTCCCTGTGGCCTCTGCTGTGAGCTGTTCTCGCGGAGCCGCTTTCACACTGCCCGCAGCCCTGCGGCCTCCACTCACGCCCCGGGCCAAGGCTCCCGTGGACACCAGCACAACCAGGCTCTGGCCTCACAGCCCGCGGGGAAGTGGCCACTGCCCCGTGGGGCCCTCTACACCTTGCCCTGGGTCAGGGTTTAGTCTCAAGAGTCCTCCCCTCCTGGCTGCCTGGGCCCAGGACAAGGACAAATGGCAGGGAGGGAAGTTCCTAGGGTGAGCACAGGCTTCGGGTCAAGCTCACCTCCCCCACCTGCCCAGCGCATGCAGCCCATCCAGGAGTGCCAGTGACCCGGGCTGTCGTGCGAGCCCCAGGCTTGGAGTCCCCACTCAGACCGCAAGTAGCTCTGTGGCCTTGGGCAAGGCCTTCGGGCCCGTCGCCGGTCAGTGAAGCGTGAGGGACAGCACCCTCTGGGACTGTGCGCCCTGGAGCCTGCAGGCGGACCAGCGCAGGACAGAGCGACTGGTGTGGTACCAGGTCGGCGGTCTCAGCCCTCCCTGGCTGCCCCTAGAATTCTTTCTCTTTTTTTGGTCCTGGAGATCGAACCCAAGGCCTTCACACTGAGCTACAACCCCACCCTTTTGTATTTTTTGAGACAGAGGCTTACTAAATTGCCCAGGATGAGCTGGACCTTTTGAACTCAGCCTCCCAGCCTGCTGGGGTGGCACGTGTGCGCCACTACCCCAGCTCCTCCCTAGGATCCTCACCCAAGTGGGCCAGGTCAGTGCAGGCCCGCAGAGCCGGTCACCCTCTCCAGCTGACTCCCAGAGCAGCGCCACCACCTCTCAACAGTGACACTGTAACCAGCCTCTGACCCTGCGTCACTGGGCTCCCCTGCACCTGCGCCTGCTCCCCTGGGGGCCTGGGCAGTCAGGCAACACAGAAACACACACCCGACACCAGGCGGGTGTTTTGAACAGGGACGAGGCAATGGAGGGACCCAGGTACAGCACATGGGGGCTTCAAGGACGCTGTCCCCAGAGCAGTCAGGGCTGAGCGGAAGGAGCCCGGCTCCTGCACATCTGGAGCATCTGGTGTGGATTCTGAGTCTCTGCGGGACTGCACTCTCAGTCAGCACCCTTGGGGCAGGACCACGCCCGGTCCTGGCCGAGTCCTGGAGAGGAGGCTGCCGCCCCCACGGCCCCTCCCAGGTGACCCTGCCTGCTGCCCGCTCTGCTCCCCGCTGTGCCCTGCTTCTCCCGGCTGTGGTGACGGCTGCAGGGAGCCAGGCCAGCTCCTCCTTTAACCCACGGTGCCGCTCCTCACGGTACTCAGCTGCAGGGGCTGCTGCCAGGGGCCCTGGGGTGCTGCTGTCAGCCAGGGTTCGGTGAGACCACAGCCTCTGCCTCTGAGCTCCAGCTTCTCCGCAGTGCAGATGCTGCCCAGCCGCTTGGGGGCCAGCGCTGAGCACATGCCCACGTCCTAGTGACCACAGCAGACAGGTCCCGCGGGGGCGGACGCGCTGCCACGCCTGCCTACACCTGAGGCCCCCTCTCCTTACCCACGTGCACGCCGGTGGTCACAGCCGGGCAGAGGCACAGAACTTCACAGCAGGGGCAGCCGCCCCAGCTCTCCGTGCGCCTCCCTCGCCCTCTCTCCCTCTTCCTCCTGCCTCCTAGCGAAGAGGCACGAATAGCACAATGGGTTATAAGGGTCCAAAGAAGTCCACAGGGAACCCCATGTGGTTGCACACACCTGTAATCCCAGGCTAGCTAGGAGGCTGAGGCAGGGGGATCACAAGTTGAACCCAGCCTGAGCAACTTAGTGATTTAGCAAAAACTTAATAATATAAAAACTGAAAAAGGGCTGAGGACGTGTCTTAGTGCCAAGCCCCTAGGTTCAATCCCCAAAAGGGGGAGGGTATTAAACAGTAGATTGTGAGACCAGGTGTGGTGCACACCTGTAATCCCAGCACTAGGGAGGCTGAGGCGGGAGAATCGTTGCAAATTCAAGACCAGCCTGGGTTACAAAGTGAGCTCAAGGCCAGCCTGAACTGCATGGCGAGACCCTGTCTCAAAAACACCAAAAAAGAAAGAAAGAAAGAACGTTTGTGCTGCAGTGAGGACTGCTGTCCCCAGGCCCCCTGGGCTCCTGTGTTCCTGCTGCTGGGGCCCCTCCTCACTGAGTCCAGGTACAGACGAGCTGGGCCCCCACTGTCCCCGGAGCCCTCACAGGGGTGAGACTGAGTGTGATCAGACCCCGCATGGCCGGGACCCTCCCCTCCCTCCACTCTACTCTATGGCTCCTGGGGTCACAAGGATCAGGGAGCTGAGGCGCCCAGAGGACCTGCCCGGCCCTTGGGTAATGACCCCGGTGCACTGGGCCTTGCCCTGCCCCGCTGCAGGGCCGCCTCATCCCTCCTCGTCTGCGCTCCGAGCTCAGCTCCCATCCCCACCCTGTCACGCAGGCATCTCCTCTGGCGGTGTCCTGTGTCCCGCCTGCCCCCAGGGACACCTCGCAGGCTGACTCTGCCCTGGAGCTGCCGCCCACAGCTGCCCCAGCCGCCGCTGACTCAAGCGCCCACTCCCGCCCGAGGGCCTGCGTCTGCCCCGTCCACCGGCCTGCCCGCGCCTCGCCGCCCGGCGCACCGTAGGTGCTCCATGACCCAAAGCAGCCGAGCAGGGGAGCATTACCCGCGTTCCGCCCTCCAGCGCTCAAGGCCTGCAGAGTCCAGCCGTCAGGACATTTGTCCCTCAGCTCTCAGGGCGCTCACCTTTCCTTTCCTCGTAGGAGGAGCCCAAGGCGGGTGACAAGCAGAGGCCGCTCACAGCCCAGACCCACGAAGGGCTGCAGGCGCGTGGCCCTAAGGTGGCAGCAATGGCAGTGCCCATTCCTCAGGCCCCTCTGACAGTCTGACCTTTTCAGCCCATCCATGGGCACAGCTGAACCACTGCCCTTGCCAACAGAAAACACAGAAGCCAGGCATGGTGGCACACCTGTAGTCCCAGTGCTCTGGGAGGCTAGGGCAGGCTAGGGCAGGAGGATGGCAAATTTAAGCATAGGCTGGGTAGCGTAGCCAGACCCTGTCTCGAATTTTATTTTTTTATTTTTTGTCTTTTTGGCAGGGTCTCGCTATGCAGTTCAGGCTGGCCTTGCACTCACTTTGTAGCCCAGGCTCGTCTCAAACTCAAAACGATCCTCCTGCCTCAGCCTCCTGAGTGCTGGGATTACAAGCGTGTGCCACCACGCCCAGCTCCTGTCTCAAATTTTAAAAATTTAAAAGGGCTGAAGATGTAGTTTGGTGCAGATACCCTGGGTTCAATAATCTCCAGTGCAAGAAAAGAAGAAAAAGGAAAACAGGAAAGAGGAAAAAATAAAACCTTACAAGGCAAACTCATAGCCAGGCGTGGTGGTGCACACCTGTAATCCCAGCACTCGGGAGGCTGAGGCAGGAGGATCGTTCCAGTTCAAGACCAGCCTGGGCCACAAAGTGAGCTCAAGGCCAGCCTGAACTGCATAGCGAGACCCTGTCTCAAAAAGAACAAAAAAAAAAAAAAATAAAAGCCGAAGTCATAAACATGCCTTGAACCTTCTCCCAAATTTCTTGGGACATGGATGCTTGGACCCCAGCTAGCCTGAGTTGGAGACCCTGTGGGGAGACTCAGGGCAGCCAGGCCAGCCCACAGCTTGACTGAGGTCCTCACCAACAGCCAGGGTCACCAGAGCTGGTGTGAAGAGGACAGCATAAGCCTCCAGCCTTCGCACCTTCCCAGCAGAGGCCCCGGATATGGACAGAATCAAGCTGTCCCCACTGGGCACCCTCTGAATTCCCTGAAATTCCTCCTTCCTTCCCAGCATGCTCCTGGGCTAGTCCCTCTGTGCCCAGCGATAACCGTGTGAACTCCTCGCCAGGCCTGGTGGCCT